AGGTAAAGTACAGTTACAGTATCATGATCTCAAGATGAGCTAGTTTTTTTAATCTCTCTGGAGAAGAGGCCTCATACTTGTGTAATACGTGCTGAATACCATTTCTCCCCTCTTTGGATGATCAAGTCACAAACATACCAGCCTCTCTCAGACAATGGCCCAGTGTTCCAGCCAGCAGCGTTCATACAGTACTATGGCAGCTCTTAATAGATGACAGGCCCAGACGCAGGAGGTGTGACCGCGACGTGTTTCGTCGTTTGTTTTGTCCCATCTGTGTGTCCTGTCTTGTCGGGGTCTGGGGACGTTACCCGCTAGTCAGAGTTACCATGACTCCAGAAGCCAGGTGACTGAGGCTGCCTGCCTGCCATCTCAGTCTGTGACATCAGAGGGGTGTTGTGGAAATGTGTGCCACTGAAATGGGTAGGAATGGGTTTTTTTGCTCACCCATTCACACACAATACCCCATCATGACAAAGTGAAAACATGTTTTTAGACATTTGTGCAAATTTATTGAAAATGAAATGAAACTGAAATATCTCATTATTCACACCCCTGAGTCAATACTTTGTAGAAGCACCTTTGGCAGAGATTACAGCTGAGTCTTTCTAGGTAAGTCTCTTAAGAGCTTTCCAAACCTGGATTGTGCAACATTTGCCCATTATTCTTGAAATAATTATTCAAGCTCTGTCAAATTGGTTGTTGATCATTGCTAGACAAACATTTTCAGGACTTGCCATAGATTTTCAAGTAGATTTAAGTCAAAACTGTAACTCAGCCACTCAGAAACATTCACTGTGTAGATTTGGCCTTGTGTTTTAGGTTATTGTCCTACTGCATTGTCCTGCTGAAAAGTGGATGAATCTCCCAGTGTCTGGTGGAAAGCAGACTGAACCAGGGTTTCGTCTAGCATTTTGTCTGTGCTTAGCTCCATTCCATGTATTTTTAATGCTGAAAAACACCCCAGTCCTTAATGATTCCAAGCATACCCATAACATGATGCAGCCACAACTATGCATGAAAATATGGAGAGCGGTACTCAGTAATGTGTTGTGTTGGATTTGACCCAAGTATAACATTCGGGACAAAAAGTGAATTGCTTTGCCACTTTAAAAAAATTACTTTAGTGCTTTGTTGCAAACAGGATGCATGTTTGGGAATATTTTTATTCTGTACAAGCTTCCTTCTTTTCACTCTGTCAATTAGGTTAGTATTGTGGAGTTCCTACAATGTTGTTGATCCATCCTCAGTTTTCTCTTATCACAGTAATTAAACTCTGTAACTGTTTTAAAGTCACCATTAGCCTAATGGTGAAGTTCCTGAGCAGTTTCCTTCCTCTCCGGTAACTTAGGAAGGATGCCTGTATCTTTGTAGTGACTGAGTGTATTCATACACAATCCAAAGTGTAATAAAAAATGTATATGTATTTTCACTGTAATTTATTGGTTGTTTGTGCGTTTTATTTTTTTCAATCAGCTTTTTTTTCTTTTTTACCCATCTACCAATAGGTGCCCTTCTTTGCAAGGCATTGGAAAACTTCCTTTGTCTTTGTGGTTGAATCTGCTCAACTGAAGGACCTTACAGATAATTGTATGTGTGGGGTACAGAGATGAGGTAGTCATTCAAAAATCATGTTAAACACTATTATTGCAAATTAGTACATGCAACTTATTTGTGTGACTTGTTAAGCAAAGTTTACTCCTGAACTTATTTAGGCTTGCCATAACAAAGTGGTTGAATACTTATTGACTCCAGACATTTCAGCTTTTCATTTTAAATTAATTTGTTTAAAAAAAAATCCACTTTGACATTTTGGGTATTGTGTATAGGCCAGTGACACAAAATCTAAATATAATACATTTTAAATTCTGGCTGTAACACAACAAAATGTGGAAAAAGTAAAGGGGTGTGAATACTTTCTGAAGGCACTGTAATATAACCAGTTGATATTAAGGTTTTTCAACAGGACAATGACCCAAAACACACCTCCAGGCTGTGTAAGGGCAATTTGACCAAGGAGAGGGATGGAGTGCTTCATCAGATGACCTGGTCTCCACAATCACCCGACCTCTACCCAATTGAGATGGTTTGGGATGAGTTGGACCACAGAGTGAAGGAAAAGCAGCCAACAAGTGCTCAGCATATGTGGGAAGTCCTTCAAGACTGTTGGAAAAGCATTCCTCATGAAGCTGGTTGAGAGAATACCAAGAGTGTGCAAAGCTGTCATCAAGGCAAAGTGTGGCTACTTTTTAGAAGTTTTGATGTCTTCACTATTATTCTACAATGTAGAAAATAGTAAAAATAAAGAAAAACCCTGGAATGAGTAGGTGTGTCCAAACTTTTGACTGGTACTGTATATAAAAAATTACTCAAGTAAAAGTGAAAGTCACCCAGTAAAATACTACTTGAGTAAAAGTCTAAAAGTATTTGGATTTAATTATACTTAAGTATCAAAATAAAACGTATTCGCTAAAATATACTTAAGTATCAAAAGTAAAAGTATAAATAATTTCAAACCAGACAGCACAATTGTCTTTTTTTATTTTATTTACAATGAAGCATTTGTGTTTAGTGAGTCTGCCAGATCAGAGGCAGTAGGGATGACCAGGAATGTTCTCTTGAGAAGTGCTTGAATTGGACCATTTTCCTGTCCTGCTAAGCAGTCAAAATGTAATGAGTACTTTTGGGTGTCAGGGAAAATGTATGGAGTTAAAAGTAGATTATTTTCTTTAGGAATGTAGTAAAGTAAAAGTTGTCAAATATATAAAACGTAAAGTACAGATACCCCAAAAACTACTTAAGTAGTACTTTAAAGTATATTTACTTAAGTACTTTACACCACAGCTAATAAATTACTCATGAGCTTAGTTCAACTGTCGTACCCCATCAGAACCCAAAATGTACGCTTGTTTTATTCCAATGTTTGTTAATAAAGTACATGGAAACAAACACTATATAGCCTTAAAACATTGTTAAAACTATCATTTTGATATCATGGATGATCAGTCCTTGCATCCATAACTTTGTATATGAATTTGAGAGTGGTTACATTTCTTCAGTCCCATCCCTCAGCTTATCGTTTCAACTGCGGGTTGCCCACTTTAGCTTATAGAATCGCTTGGAAGATTCTCCTTCACTCCCAAGGCCTGCATGTGGAATTTGATCTAGTATGGAAACATTGTTGGAACGCTTTGATCCGTGATCTACAGTCAGGTCCAAAATTATTGGCACTCTTGATAAAGATGAGCAAAAAATACTGTATAAAATAAATAATACAAATTCTAAGCTATATTTTATGCTTAAAAATATTGTGAAATTATAATATTTTATACTAATACAATTGCTCAGAGAAAGAGATTTTGTTTAACAGAGGTCAAAATTATTGACATCCCTGTTTTCAATACCTTTCAATACCTCATCTTGCGAGGATAACGGCACTGAGCCTTTTTCTAAAATGTTTCATGAGATTGTAGAACACGTTGGAAGGGATCTTAGACCATTCCTTCATACAGAATCTTTCCATATCCTTTGTCTGCACTGATGGACTGCCCTCATCAATTCAAACCACAGGTTTTCAATGGTGTTCAAGTCCAGAGACTGAGATGGCCATTGCAAAATGTTGATTTTGGGGTCAATTAACCATTTCTTTATGAAATGTGATGTGTGTTTGGGGTTATTGTCTTGCTGGAAAATCCACTTGCGGCCAAGTTTCAGCCTCCTGGCAGAGGCAACCAGGTTTTTATTATTTTTATTTTATTTAACCAGTCAGTTAAGAACAAATTCTTATTTACAATGACGGCCTACCCCGGCCAAACCTGGACGACACTGGGCCAATTGTGCGCCACCCTATGGGACACCCAATCACGGCCGGATGGACATTAAAGATCTACCACCATATTTTACAGTAGGTATGGGGTTCCTTTCTGCTTATGCATGCTTATTTCGACCCCAAACCCATCACCGGTGTGTGTGTGGCCAAAGTACTCTATTTTCATGTCATCCAACCAATGTAAACAGCTGGAGTTTGCTAAACGGCATTGGCACTTGGATTGGAACCGGTGCTATGGTCAGATGACATAAAAATAGTGCTCTTTGGCCACAACACCAGTGGTGGGTTTGGTGTCAAAATAAGGATGCATAAGCAGAAAAGAACCCCATACCTACTGTAAAATATGGTGGTGGATTAAGGGCACTACATTCTACAGCGTTTTGTTGTTGTTTTCTGTATCCTCTCTTGGCAAAGTACTAAGGTTAATTTCAGTGTGCAGATACTGAATTAAAGTAGTAAGTAGACCTACTACTGTGCTTTGTAAGTATTGTTGTGCTTGAATAATACAAGGTATATCCACTTATTTGAGGCTAAAAAAAGATTGCCACTTGGTTTTCTCATTTAAACTCTCCTTGCCCAGAGGTATACTTTCCCTGAGCAGTCTCCATCCAGTCTCAAGGCTGAAGTTGAAGAATTCAGCCTTTTTTTTCATTGGGAACATTTACAATATGTTGGATGTGGCCGGCTCTGGCGCAGAGCAGAAAGAGAGGGGTCTCATGGCAGAAAGAAAGGGGTTTCCTTGTTAAACTTGGAGCCCATCAGTCATCCTGCAGGATCTGTTAGCCATGCATTAGTGGATCTTTCCCTCAAATCCGATCAATTCAGTTTGTGTTTGTCACTGTGACCCGGCGACGGGTCTCTCTCTCTGAGCTGATCTCTTACTAATGACCAGGCAGAACTTCAGATGGTTTTTACATGTTGGATGTTTTTTCCTCTGCATTGTGTCTGATAGTGTTTTTTGCTATTGTCACTGCTAAATGTGATACACATCTCCCAATTAACTAGGCTAACTGTAAATGAACTGTTAAATAACTAACTGTATTTACTTCCCGTAGAAGACAAAAAGTCAGACAGACATCGGGGCTATGCCTTAGTATATCCAAGATGGCTAACTGACTATTAACTAACAATTAACAGACTGTTAACTAACTAGTACCTTACTGTGTACCTATAGAAGAGAAGAGGGCAAGAAGAAATATGAAGACATGAGGAAACAGAAACTGAAGAAGGGATCCAGCAGAGAGGCACAGGTAACAGAGGTGTCATTACTCAAAACTGAGCCGGTGTGTCAGGTGTCATTTACTCTCTACACATATTACATTCTAGTCATTTAGCAGAAGCTCTCATCCAGAGCGACTTTCAGTAGTTAGTGCGTACATTTTCGTACGGGTCCTTGTTGAGGTCAGTTGGAGCTCTGGGATTATAGAGTGTTGATGACATTAATGATGACGTCTTTCAGTCAAATACATATAAATGACTAGCAGTGCATTTTTTCTTGAAACAACAGGGGGTTGAGGTGAAAGTCTGAGACTTAGATGAGTCTTAGATCTTAAGATTTGTGTTGTTAATGACCCAGATCTCCCAATGACCTTTAACCTGATTGTCCTGTAGACAATGGCGCTGCTGGACCGATTCAAGTCAAAGCTATCTTCAGCCATCACTGAGGCCCCTGAGGAGGCCCCTGAGGAGCTGGCAGAGGACAGCGACAAAGGATGGTACGTTATGGTTAGGGTTGTGGCGGTCATGACATTTTGTCAGCCGGTGATTGTCATGCAAATGACTGCCGGTCTCACGGTAATTGACCGTTCATTAACATAAACACGTTTAGGTTCTCCGGGCTTCCACGCATAGCCTACAAGCCACTAATGCGGACCTTTTGGAATATCTACATTTAAAAAAGTCTAATTAATCAATTTAATATAGCCTACACCATCACAATAAATCCATTATTTATTTTAGGCAGGTCTAAAGAAACATGATATAAAGAAAATGTAGCCTATTTCAGAAGAACAGAATAGCATATTCTGAGTCGTCCTTATGTTAGGCACTGATCTGGCTATGCCAAATGGCTGTGGGCTATACTAGTTAATTTAGCAGACAAGATTTGCTTATAATTTCCGTGGGATAATTGTATATTATTTTATGGTAAGAAGAATACAATTGAACATAGCTGAATAAAATAGAAAGGATATTTTTCCCAAACGATTTCCGACGGAGTTTGCACATGCAGCTATTCTGTGTTGAGCGGTTAACAAAGAAACAGGTCCTCCTATATGCTTAATTTAGAGTTATTTATGCAACTTTAGTTGTGATACAAACGTTGGGCTATATGTTTAGATTTTTAATACATTCTAAGGCTGCATACAGTTACCTCTGCTGCAGAGGATCAGTTCATTAGAGTTACCAGCCTCAGAACTTGCAGCCAAAATAAATGCTTCACAGAGTTCAATTAACAGACACATCTCAACCTCAACTGTTCAGAGGAGACTGCGTGAATCAGGACTTCATGGTCGAATTGCTGCAAAGAAACCACTACTAAAGGACAGCAATAAGAAGAAGAGACTTGCTTGGGCCAAGAAACATGAGCAATGGACGTTAGACCAGTGGAAATCTGTCCTTTGGTCTGATGAGTCCAAATGTGAGATTTTTGGTTCCAAACGCTGTGTCTTTGTGTGAGACACAGAGTAGGTGAATGGATGATCTCCGCATGTGTGGTTCCCACCGTGAAGCATGGAGGAGGAGGTGTGATGGTGTGGGGGTGCTTTGCTGGTGACACTGTCAGTGATTTATTTAGAATTCAAGGCACACTTAACCAGCATGGCTACCACAGCATTCTGCAGCGATACGCCATCCCATCTGGTTTGTGCTTAGTGGGACTATCCTTTGTTTTTCAACAGGACAATGACCCAAAACACACCTCCAGGCTGTGTAAGGTCTATTTGACCAAGAAGGGAGTGATGGAGTGCTGCATCAGATGACCTGGCCTCCACAATCACCCGACCTCAACCCAATTGAGATGGTTTGGGATGAATTGGACCACAGAGTGAAGGAAAAGCAGCCAACAAGTGCTCAGCATATGTGGGAACTCCTTCAAGACTGTTGGAAAAGCATTCCAGGTGAAGCTGGTTGAGAGAATGCCAAGAGTGTGTAAAGCTGTCATCAAGGCAAAGGGTGGCTGTTTTGAAGAATCTCAAATATATAATATATTTTGATTTGTTTAACACTTTTTTGGTTACTACATGATTCCATATGTGTTATTTCATAGATTTGCTGTCTTCACTATTATTCTACAATGTAGAAAATAGTAAAAATAAAGAAAAACCCTTGAATCAGAAGGTGTGTCCAAACTTTTGACTGGTACTGTATGTGTGGAATTATTTTTGATTTAGAATGGCCCACAAAAGAAAAACATGTCATCCGTAGCCTGCACTCAAATAGCGAATGGAGGTTTACGTGCGGTTAAATTTTTTATATGCCAGATAGGCCGATTCATGTGCTTAATTTTAAGATTTGAGCAATAAATATAGCAGCATGAGAAAGCTTGGATCCTCTTTTAAGTAGTGTCCCGTCAAAACTCGGTTTTCACAATGACTGGGCTTATAAGAACACGTTTCACTAGGCTCTGTAGCTCTCCAACCATGTTGCAGGCTTCCTAGGCCTATAGACTACGCTTGGAGTTATTTAGCCACTTTAGTTATGATACAAAACATATCAAAACATATAGGTCTATGGGCTAGGCTACATGATGCATGCGACTATGAAAGGTATGCACTGTTTCTTGCCTTATATTCCACACGATGGGCATCATTCACAAGTGATAATAGTCTCACCCATCAGACTATTCTCAATTTAATCTTGTCTTTACATATACTAAATAATATATGTGTGTAATTAGTTTTGATTTAGAATGGGCCATTATCATGCACCTGTCGGAACAGAGGCAGGGGAAAAAAAGACATGTCACCCGTATGCACTTGAATAGTGAATGGAGGATGCTTTTCCCGCAATTCATTTTCATGCCAGTAGGCTACTCCGGTTGTAAACTGAAGCAATGTGCTTAATATAAGGAAAGTTCAGAAATAAATATAGTAGGCCTAGCCTATAGAAAGCTGATGGGATCCTCCTCTTTTTTAATAGAGGCCATAAAAACTCTGTTTTCTCATGCAATTGCATAGCATAGCCTATAGAAATGTTGCTCAACATGGGCTTATGTGCTCTCATGATTTGATACAGCATTTGCATTGATGTCAGAGTGATTAGAGGGACAATAGAGCGCTGAGTAGCAGGCCATTAGCGACTGGCTGTTAGCAAGTTTGGAAGGCTACTAATGACCATCGGCGGCATCGGAATTCAGTTTTGGAGAAGCCTTGTTACCGTGACTCAGCGGTCATGTGGAATTTGACTGCAGTCATTTTTTTTTACATTTTAGTCATTTAGCAGACGCTCTTATCCAGAGCGACTTACAGTTAGTGAGTGCATAAATGTTTTCATACTGGCCCCCCGTGGGAAACGAACCCACAACCCTGGCGTTGCAAGCGCCATGCTCTACCAACTGAGCTACAGGGGACAGTCATGACTCGTGACTGCCAGTGTGGCGGTAATACGTTCACCGTAACAGCCCTAGTTATGGTTTCTTTTTTTATTTAACCTTTATTTATCCTGGTTTGTCTCATTGAGATGAAATATACACTGCTCAAAAAAATAAAGGGAACACTTAAACAACACAATGTAACTCCAAGTCAATCACACTTCTGTGAAATCAAACTGTCCACTTAGGAAGCAACACTGATTGACAATACATTTCACATGCTGTTGTGCAAATGGAATAGACAACAGGTGGAAATTATAGGCAATTAGCAAGACACCCCCCAATAAAGGACTGGTTTTGCAGGTGGTGACCACAGACCACTTCTCAGTTCCTATGCTTCCTGGCTGATGTTTTGGTCACTTTTGAATGCTGGCGGTGCTTTCACTCTAGTGGTAGCATGAGACGGAGTCTACAACCCACACAAGTGGCTCAGGTAGTGCAGCTCATCCAGGATGGCACATCAATGCGAGCTGTGGCAAGACGGTTTGCTGTGTCTGTCAGCGTAGTGTCCAGAGCATGGAGGCGCTACCAGGAGACAGGCCAGTACATCAGGAGACGTGGAGGAGGCCGTAGGAGGGCAACAACCCAGCAGCAGGACTGCAACCTCCGCCTTTGTGCAAGGAGGAGCAGGAGGAGCACTGCCAGAGCCCTGCAAAATGACCTCCAGCAGGCCACAAATGTGCATGTGTCTGCTCAAACGGTCAGAAACAGACTCCATGAGGGTGGTATGAGGGCGTTTGGCATTTGCCAGAGAACACCAAGATTGGCAAATTCGCCACTGGCGCCCTGTGCTCTTCACAGATGAAAGCAGGTTCACACTGAGCACATGTGACAGACGTGACAGAGTCTGGAGACGCCATGGAGAACGTTCTGCTGCCTGCAACATCCTCCAGCATGACCGGTTTGGCGGTGGGTCAGTCATGGTGTGGGGTGGCATTTCTTTGGGGGGCCGCACAGCCCTCCATGTGCTCGCCAGAGGTAGCCTGACTGCCATTAGGTACCGAGATGAGATCCTCAGACCCCTTGTGAGACCATATGCTGGTGCGGTTGGCCCTGGGTTCCTCCTAATGCATGACAATGCTAGACCTCATGTGGCTGGAGTGTGTCAGCAGTTCCTGCAGGAGGAAGGCATTGATGCTATGGACTGGCCCGCCCGTTCCCCAGACCTGAATCCAATTGAGCACATCTGGGACATCATGTCTCGCTCCATCCACAAACGCCACGTTGCACCACAGACTGTCCAGGAGTTGGCGGATGCCTTAGTCCAGGTCTGGGAGGAGATCCCTCAGGAGACCATCCTCCACCTCATCAGGAGCATGCCCAGGCGTTGTAGGGAGGTCATACAGCCACGTGGAGGCCACACACACTACTGAGCCTCATTTTGACTTGTTTTAAGGACATTACATCAAAGTTGGATCAGCCTGTAGTGTGGTTTTCCACTTTAATTTTGAGGGTGACTCCAAATCCAGACCTCCATGGGTTGATAAATTTGATTTCCATTGATAATTTTTGTGTGATTTTGTTGTCAGCACATTCAACTATGTAAAGAAAAAAGTATTTAATAAGATTATTTCATTCATTCAGATCTAGGATGTTTTATTTTAGTGTTCCCTTAATTTTTTTGAGCAGTGTATTTTGCAAGAGAGACCTACATACATTTTTGGAGTTCCAGCAGACGTATAAAGAGTGACTTACAATTAGGGCTGACCCCATTTAGTCGACTGGTCGATTGTTTGGTCGATAGGCTGTTGGTCGACCAAGATTTCTTTAGTCGAGCAGTCGCAATTTTGGTGTACAAGACACCTGTCTGATTTGCGCCTGTCTCAGTGGACTAATCCATTGCGGAGGCTACGGGGATGGCACAGTCCATCACTCTAAGACGTGATACTGAAATTGTATATGGTTATATTATGTAAAAAGAATGGTGCAACACTAATAAATCTATTATTATTTTATAAAAAATGCGCTTTCTCCCGTGTTGGACACGGTCGCTGTCCGCGGTTCTGAAACGTAATCTTCAGTGTGCTGTAGAATTGGCACCTTTTCCTATGTTGCTATGTGCATAATAGCAAAGTTAACCAGCATATTGGGATTGAGAACAATGGGGCGGAGGCAGCAGACGAGGAAACAGCCCTTGGCTTAGCCTTAGTCTTTGCTATGCTGTAATAAAGACTTTACAAAAGCTTTTCGTTAGAACAGACTGGTATTACTTATAATGTATTTAGTGTTGTTTACAGTGTTCCAAACAGGCAGAAAAAATAATATTGTAATCTAACAGCACCTGTCACGCATAATAATATGCATGCAGCTCCTACTACTATACCCTCCTTTTTCTAGATCTCCTTCTTATTGTTATTATTACAATTAGTAGGCTTAGTATAGTAGCCTTGTATAACCACCATCGAGCTGTAGGCCTAAGAGCGCGTCCTGTTTAGTCTTAATACCGTAACTTACTTAGGCCTATATTTCAATATATAGGCTACTGTATCAATCAATGAATCATTCATTCGTTCATGCCATCACACAGCATACGAGACATTCATGCTTTGAAATGCAATCAAGCGTTTTAGTTTTGAAATGTAATAACGAAGGGAGCTTTGAATAATTAGCCTAAACAATAAATAAACCGCAATTCACAAATGCATGCAACTGTTTTTAGTCTGTAATAAAGGCTTTATATATCTTTTCTTTTTTGTTAGAACAGACTCTGTGGTACACTTATTTAGTGTTGTTTACACTGTTCCAAATGGTCAGAAAAAGTAATAATATTGTAATCTAACAGCAACTGTTTGGCACACATAATACTCACACAATGCTCGCTCCTACACCCTCCTTTTTCTTGATCTCCAGTAGTTTCCACAACTAAGTCAAACGTCTTCCACAGATCTGACTTCCCCTTTCCCTCCTGAGCCACAAGTAAACAGTCGGCCGTTCGTTTCAAATTTCTTTTTCACCTCCTCCGCATCCATTTTGCTGTCACGCGTTACTGTGTTCGGAATTTGTTCTAACCAATTTATTGATGTGGTTATGAAAGGCTATAGGTCAGGCCCTATTGGTCACATGCATGCGATGCTTACATATTTCACGTAAAGAGAGCAAGGGTGGAGGGAATAGGGAATGTTTTTCCTAAACAAATGAGGGATTTCAGTCAGAAACAAGTAAGAAACTAAATGGCTGAAATGATGTTGCAGTTCAGCACGGACAGCGCAATAAACACTTGATATGCTGTGGTGCCTTTTCGCTGCAGTAGGGAGGAGAGCGAGACAACGTGCCCCAGTCACACAGGCACTCGCTGTCATTTTTTTTAACACAGTGTGACCATCAGCCTCTTTCTTGAGTCATTTGTGTGTCTTCATTATTGAATCAAACAGTGGGCTTAAAGCATCAGACAAGCTCCGTGCATATGTAGTTGATTTTATTCAAACACATATGGTGTGTCTGTCAGGACGACTCTCAGTCAACCAATAACCTTTTTATGTCGGGGACAGCCTTACTTGCAATAAGTCCTAAGAAATGTGTCCCACTGGGCACAGAAGTCAGTTCAACATCTAGTTTTGATTTACATTTGGTTGAGTTGTCAAGTAACGTGAATTCAACTTGAAATCAACAAAACATTTAACCATGTCATTGGATTTAGGTTAAAAGTTGGGTATAAAAAGACGAAATGCCCTTACGTTGATGACTTTTTGCAAATCCAACCAGTTTTCCACATTGATTCAATGTCATGACATTGATGGAATAGGGTGCAATTTAGGACGTAACCTAGTATTACCAGTTCTAGTGGGCAAGACAGAGCAGCCCATCCACCATCCATCCGCCCCCCCATCCTGTAACAGATATGTTATGTCTGTTAATGGCCAGTCATAACACAGGCCTGAGGAGCTGCTCCTTAACGACTTGACACACTGCTGAACTTTATACAGTGAATCAACACACTCTGACTGCTCTAGATTAGATAGATGTAGCTATGGCCTGGGTGCCAGCCTTAGGTTTTAGTTTCAGTACTCTCAGAGAAACACAGACTGCCAGCCAGGTGAAAAGATTGTTCTAACATGGGCATGTTTATTTCTCTCTTACTTTGACATTTTTAGTTTTGTCTTTGTAGGCTTGACTCATAGTATGTGTGTGTGTGTGCGCATGTGCGTGCGATTACCTGTGTGTGTCTTCATGATTACAGGTGTGTGAGTATTAAGCTGTGTTGTAAAGGCCATTCCCGACCCTCAGCACCTCTACAGGAACAGTGGATGACAAAGGAGCGGGTGGAATAATGCCACCTTCTCTTACCACCTAGGCTTATACCAGGACTGAAGGGTTTGTCATCCCTAATGTGTGTTTTATACAAGACAACATTGGGTTACCACTGTGTAAGAAACTCACACATTAGAAAGTATAGGGATGTTTCTGTAAGGTTTTAGTGTGTGCAGGCTGAAGCTATAGAATATGATGAACACTACAGTTAGGAGGACACTGTTCAGTACTGTAGTCTGTTGGCTCGCACCGCTCCTTCTGTCAGACAAATCAGATGCATATGGAATTCAATTTTTTTCGCCCCCAGCCAGTCACATTTATGACCTATTTCGGTTCTATTTTTCAATTTGATGAACTCCTCAGATGGATTGTGTTTTGACGTTTCTTCTCTCTGCTGTTGATGTGTTTTCAACGTCCTGCTGTGTCCTGACCAGAACAGAGAGCCACACTGCAGTACTGACGACTCACTGAGAGCGAGACGCAGAGACAGGGAGGGAGGGAGGGAGGGAGGGAGAGGGAGAGAGAGAGGGAGCTCCAGCCTACAGGAAACAAGCTAGCTAAGACATTGCCCTGTGGAGCGGCTGCTGCTGGGAGTTAAAACACGGCCGTGTGTCTGTGTATTGGCACCTGAAGTTGTGCTTCAGATACTTCAGATACTTATAGATACTTATAGATACTTATAGATACTTCAGATACTTATAGATACTTCAGATACTTATAGATACTTCAGATATACCAATTTATTGAAGGCAATGAAGACAGCAGTGTGTATGTGTGTGTGTTTGCATAGCCTGGTCTCTCTGCCGTCTCCCTCAGTGGGCAGACAGAGCCACCGTCAGGAAATCAGCTTTTACATTGTGTTTTCCTCTCCCATTCTGTTTTTCACCAACAGACCTCTAACTGAGCCTCTCTCTCAGACCTCAACATATAGAAAGCGAAAGAGAGTCAGAGAGGGCTGAAATGAATCCCATGTGTTTGAACTTCGAGGAAAGTGTCTGTGTGAGAGATTTAGAATAACAAAACCTGTAGTTGCTATTAGTCTCAGCCAGCCAGGCCCCCAGCTCAGTCTCACTGTTTGGCCCCCGCCAGCCATCCAGCTAGGTATGAGACAGGAGGAGGGGGGAGGACAGGGGCACAGTAGCCTAGCAGTCCCAGGCTGTGTCCCAAATGGCACCCAGGGTCCCAAATGGCACCCAGGGCTCTGGTCAGAAGTAGTGCACTATATAGGGAATAGGGTGTAATTTGGGCCGCAGACCTAATCTAGCTCAATACGCCAGCCACGCAGTAGCATAGGATGTCTGTGCCACTCTGAGAGCCCTGGTACAGGAACTATTGGGTTACTACAGGTCAGACTCCCCAAGTCAAGTCTGGGCCAGGGGACTGTAAACTATTCCGTCTGGGTCTACAAACTCTATACTTTCTAGATCGCTCTGCTAACACACACACACACACACAGAGAGAGGCTCGCAGACACATTTACACACACACACGCTCTCAATCTAAGAAGCCAGCCATAGAGCCCCTGTCGTCCCACCCTCACCCCTCCCTCTTTCCTCCCTCTTTTCAAAAAGCGAAAGAAAAACAAATAGAGTCCTGAGGCTTCTGGGTAGAGAGTGGGTTTGATAAGCAGACTGGAGCGCTGAATGGTGGGAGCCCAGAGCCTGACACACACACACACACACATATACAGTGCCTTCAGAAAGTCTTCACACCCCTTGACTTTTTCCACATTTTCTTGTTTCTGTAACTAGGCCATTCAGGAACATTCAATGAAATCTTGGTAAGCAACTCCCGTGTATATTTGGCCTTGTGTTTTAGGTAATTGTCCTGCTGAAAGGTGAATTTGTCTCCCAGTGCCTATTGGACAGCAGACTGAACCAGGTTTTCCTGTAGGATTTTGCCTGTCCTTAGCTCTATTCCATTTATTTTTATCCTAAAAAACTCCCTAGTCTTTGCCGATGACAAGCATACCCATAACGTGATGCAGCCAACACCATGCTTGAAAATATGTTGAGTGGTACTGAGTGATGTGTTGGATTTGCCCCAAACATAACGCTTTGTATTCAGATTTGAATCTGTGTTTGAAATTCACTGCTCAACTGAGGGACCTTACAGATAATTGTATGTGTGGGGTACAGATATGAGGTAGTCAAAAATCATGTTAAAAACTATTATTGTACTCCGAGTGAGTCCATGCAACTTATTATGTGACTTGTTAAGCACATTTTTACTCCTGAACTTGCCATAACAAAGGGGTTGAATACTTATTGACTCAAGACATTTGAGCTTTTCATTTTTTATTAATTTGTAAACATTTCGAAAAACATCATTACACTTTGACATTATGGGGTATTGTGTGTAGATTAGTGACAAAATCTCAATTTAATCCATTTTAAATTCAGGCTGTAACACAACAAAATGTGGAAAAAGTCAAGGGGTATGAATACTTTCTGAAGGCACTGTGTGTATACACATACACACACACACACATACACACATTGTTCTGTAGTCTGGGCGATGAGACTGTGTTCCTGTCATCACTGAGGCTGCTAGACAAATTATGGTAGCGGTCTGCCTCGCACTGCAGGACTCCTCAGTCTGCCAGAGTAGAGCCACCATGACATCCTGGATGAGCTGTCACTACTACTGCCCAGTTCACATGAACACAGGAGGGGGTACTGCAGAGCACACACACATGCTTTACCTATGCACTCAGGCAGACTAAAAAGGCAGACAAACACATTGGGCTGCACGATCCCAATCCCACACACATCAAGCCCCGCCCCCTGTCACTCAAGCAGGCAGTTCCTTGTGCTCGGAATTCACTCTGCATCCATTGACCAAACAACAGCATGCAGTCTACAGATTTTTCAAAACAAGAACTACAGTAGGCAGCTTTCCACTTTGCTTCTTAATATAAATCCACATTTCTATATTATACTATTCATTTGTGTAACTTGCTCTCTGCAAAATGCTATTTAGTTGGTCTTAGCAAGCTACAATTGTGGTAAAAAAAAATTGTGTTAGCCCCTAATGCTAATTGTTAGCTAGCTGGCTAGCTAAATCCAGTGAGATACGGCAAATCTTGCTATCAAACTTTTTGCTCTAATACAGGCTGGTACCCGTGACGGGATGTATCAGCATTTTTTTGTGCAACAGCTTGTTCTTAATCAGAGAGGAGAAGGCGAAAAATATTCTAAAATCTTTGTCTGAATGTACCTATCTATTTAAATCTCATGCGTGTCCCCTGGGAAACACTGACTAACACTTTGGTTCCTACTCTGTCACAACCATCTCCTCCCTTACTTTTTCATTCGTTGTCATGCCAAACTAAACTGCATTCCAAGTGTCCACTGTATTCCAACCATAACATTTGAATTATCATTCTATTTCTATGATTCCAACAGTTTACCAAAGTGTTTTTGATCTATAATCACAAGTAAAATTGCAATATTTGGTACAGATATCACAATTAGATATGTTACCTATATTGTGCAGCCCTACACATACACTGAGTGTACAAAACATTATGAATACCTGCTCTTTCCATTACATAGACTGACCAGGTGAAAGCTATGATCCTTTATTGATGTCACTTGTTAAATCAAATCAAATCAAATCAAATTTTATTGGTCACATGCGCCGAATACAACAGGTGCAGACATTGCAGTGAAATGCTTACTTACAGCCCTTAACCAACAGTGCATTTATTTTAAACAAAAAAAAGTAAGATAAAAACAACAACAACAAAAAAGTGTTGAGAAAAAAAGAGCAGAAGTAAAAAAAAGTGACAGTAGGGAGGCTATATATACAGTAAAATAAAGTGACAGTAGGGAGGCTATATATACAGGGGGGTACCGTTGCAGAGTCAATGTGCGGGGGCACCGGCTAGTTGAGGTAGTTGAGGTAATATGTACATGTGGGTAGAGTTAAAGTGACTATGCATAAATACTTAACAGAGTAGCAGCAGCGTAAAAAGGATGGGGTGGGGGGGCAGTGCAAATAGTCCGGGTAGCCATGATTAGCTGTTCAGGAGTCTTATGGCTTGGGGGTAGAAGCTGTTGAGAAGTCTTTTGGACCTAGACTTGGCACTCCGGTACCGCTTGCCGTGCGGTAGCAGAGAGAACAGTCTATGACTAGGGTGGCTGGAGTCTTTGACAATTTTGAGGGCCTTCCTCTGACACCGCCTGGTATAGAGGTCCTGGATGGCAGGGAGCTTTGCCCCAGTGATGTACTGGGCCGTACGCACTACCCTCTGTAGTGCCTTGCGGTCAGAGGCCAAGCAGTTGCCATACCAGGCGGTGATGCAACCAGTCAGGATGCTCTCGATGGTGCAGCTGTAGAATTTTTTGAGGATCTGAGGACCCATGCCAAATCTTTTTAGTCTCCTGAGGGGGAATAGGCTTTGTCGTGCCCTCTTCACGACTGTCTTGGTGTGTTTGGACCATGATAGTTCGTTGGTGATGTGGACACCAAGGAACTTGAAGCTCTCAACCTGTTCCACTACAGCCCCGTCGATGAGAATGGGGGCGTGCTCAGTCCTCTTTTTTTTCCTGTAGTCCACAATCATCTCCTTTGTCTTGGTCACGTTGAGTGAGAGGTTGTTGTCCTGGCACCACACGGCCAGATCTCTGACCTCCTCCCTATAGGCTGTCTCATCGTTGTCGGTGATCAGGCCTACCACTGTTGTGTCGTCGGCAAACTTAATGATGGTGTTGCAGTCGTGCCTGGCCATGCAGTCATGGGTGAACAGAGAGTACAGGAGGGGACTGAGCACGCACCCCTGAGGGGCCCCCGTGTTGAGGATCAGTGTGGCAGATGTGTTGTTACCTACCCTTACCACCTGGGGGCGGCCCGTCAGGAAGTCCAGGATCCAGTTGCAGAGGGAGGTGTTTAGTCCCAGGATCCTTAGCTTAGTGATCCACTTCAATCAGTGTAGATGAAGGGGAGGATACAGGTAAACAAGGATTTTTATGCCTTGAAACAATTGAGACATGGATTGTGTTTGTGTGCCATTTAGAAGGTGAATGGGCAAGACAAAATATTTAAATGCCTTTGAACAGGGTATGGTAGTAGGTGTCAAGTACTGCAACGCTGCTGGGTTTTTCACACTCAACCGTTCCCCATGTGTATCAAGAATGGCCCACCACCCAAAGGACATCCAGCCAACTTGACACAACTGTGGGAATCATTGGAGTCAAAATGGGCCAGCATCACTGTGGAACGCTTTCGACATCTTGTAGAGTCCATACCCCAATGAATTGAGGCTGTTCTTAATGTGTTGTACACTCAGTGTATATATAATATGCCATTTAGCAGATGCTTTTATCCAAAGTGACTCACAGTCGTGTGCATACATTTTACGTATGGGTGGTCCCGGGAATTGAACCCACGACCCTGGCGTTACAAGGGCCATGCTCTACCAACTGAGCTAGCAAGGACCCCTATATATACACACACACACACACACACGCTTCACCGAAACACACGGGCAGACACACACACACAGACGCACACACAGACAAGCCATCTGACAAAAATACACTCATACATACACTTAGCTTCGCACACAGACTCAAGTGCACACTCAGACACACGTCATCCAACACACACATACAAGAAGGACACACACTTCAATGTGATCTTAGTGGGTGATTAAAGAGGATATGTCCCTAGGAATCTGAGAAGCATACAGCAGAACTCATATGGCAATAAGTTTACTTCTATTCTATTTCTATAGAACGTTGGTTATGTACAGTGCCCTCGGAAGGTATTCAGACCCCTTGACCTTTTCCACATTTTGTTACATTACAGCCTTATTCTAAAATTGATTAAATCGTTTTTTTCCCCTCATCAATCTACACATCAATGATCAATCTCATCATTATCCCCATAATGACAAAGCAAAAACAGTTTTTTATACTTCAAAAAAAAATTGAAATATATCATTTACTTAAGTATTCAGACCCTTTACTCAGTACTTTGTTGAAGCACCTTTGGCAGCGATTACAGCATCGAGTCTTCTTGGGTATGACGTTACAAGCTTGGCACACCTGTATTTGGGGCGTTTCTTCCATTCTTCTCTGCAGATCCTCTCAAGCTCTGTCAGGTTGGATGGGGAGCGTTGCTACACAGCTATTTTCAGGTCTCTCCAGAGATGTTCGACCAGGTTCAAGTCTGGGCTCTGGCTGGGCCACTCAAGGACATTCAGAGACTTGTCCCGAAGCCATTCCTGCGTTGTCTTGGCTGTATGCTTAGGGTCGTTGTCCTGTTGAAAGGTGAACCTTCGCTCCAGTCTGAGGTCCTGAGCGCTCTGGAGCAGGTTTTCATCAAGGATCTCGCAGTTCTTTGCTCCGTTCATCTTTGCCTCGATCCTGACTAGTCTCTCAGTCCCTGCCGCTGAAAAACATCCCCACAGCATGATGCTGCCACCACCATGCTTCACTGTAGGGATGGTGCCAGGTTTCCTCCAGATGTGACACTTGGCATTCAGGCCAAAGAGTTAAGTCTTGGTTTCATCAGACCAGAGACTCTTGTTTCTCATGGTCTGAGAGTCTTTAGGTGCCTTTTGGCAAACTCCAAGCGTGCTGTCATGTGCCTTTTACTGAGGAGTGGCTTCCGTCTGGCCACTCTACCATAAAGACCTGATTGGTGGAGTGCTGCAGAGATGGTTGTCCTTCTGGAAGGTTCTCCCATCTCCACAGAGGAACTCTGGAGCTTTTTCAGAGTGACTATCAGGTTCTTGGTCACCTCCCTGACCAAGGCCCTTCTCCCCCGATTGCTCAGTTTGGCCGGGCGGCCAGCTCTAGGAAGAGTCTTCGACCTCATGGCTTGGTTTTTGCTCTGACATGCACTGTCAACTGTAGGACCTTATATAGACAGGTGTGTGCCTTTCCAAATCATGTCCAATCAATTGCATTTACCACAGGTGGACTCCAATCAAGTTGTAGAAACATCTCAAGGATGATCAATGGAAACAGGATGCACCTGAGCTCAATTTCGAGTTTCATAGCAAAGGGTCTGAATACTTATGTAAATAAGGTATTTCTGTTTTTAATTTTTTTAAACATTTGCAAACATTTCTAAAAACCTGTTTTCACTTTGTCATTATGGGGTATTGTGTGTAGATTGCTGAAGAAAAAAATATTTAATCCATTAAAAAAAGACATAGTCACTGGGAAAGTTGATATATGACAGAACAGATAATTCATCTGTAGGCTACATGCATAGCACTTTGTTTGCGTAGCACTTTGTAGCACTTTGTACATAGCTCTTTGCGTCAATTTGTTCCTATGTTCTTACCCAAACTGGGTGCAGCACTGTAAAACTGTAATATCCCTCAAAACACAGTGATAACGATTCCCACCGGATAAATATTATCAGAGGACCTGGGAGTTTGTCGAAAAACTGTAGGTTTTTGGGGCTGGAATAATAACCTTCCCGCTTAAATGACAGATATGGCAGATTCAGACAGGATTTAACTTACTACCTGTAATAGTAGTACATCAATGTAATAGCGCAAACAGTCAGAGAGATTTGAGGCCTGAAGCTCTTCGTCTGGTTTGGCTTCGTCTCCGTCTCTCGACTTCTGTGAATGGGTGATAGCATCTTCCCTTTTATCTTGTTTTTAATTCCCCGGGGTTGCAGCTCGGTGACCTCTGGGTAACGCCAGGCCTTCATCAGAACCCTCCAAACAGGTGTGGTGTGTCAGACACTGTCAGAGCATTGTGCATGTAGCGCAAATCCCTCTGCGCCGGGCAGATGTGTCTGCATGATGGACACCGGTGACCTGCCTCACCCCTCTTGAAGTCCTATCTCTCTCTCCACTCGCTGCTGTCACCACCTGTCTCCCCGGGAATTCCTGCTCTCACTGCATCTATAAACTGTGCGTTTGATCGATAACTGTTAGACTGACACGCTTGGCCTATTAGGGCGCTCGTTACTGTGTTGCTCTGTGTTGCAGGTGTAGCCTATTCCTTTATCAGCAATACAATCTCTAACCACCATGGCATCTTGATACCATAAATGCCTGTTGTGACAAAACACCTGCTTCAAAGGGAATGTGAGTTTCTTTTCATTGATGGAGAGGGACAGATGGAGAGTGGGAGAGTTCCGTATCACTAGGGAAATCAGCCTATCAGCCTTTAACCTTTAATCTAGATGTGATTTACTGAGTTCACATCACAGTGCTGTATCGCTGTTCTTTGAACCTCCTCTCTCTCTGATTTAGGATGGCCCATGTTCTCCAGTTTGATGAGCAAACCAGGAAAGTTAAGGATGCCAACATGCAGGACGAAGACACGTTTGAGATCTACGATCCACGCAACCCTGTCAACAAACAGCGGAGAGAGGAGAGCAAGAAGATCATGAAGGAGAAGAAGGCCAAGAGGTGAGGGGTCAGGGGTTAGGCATGGAGATTAACCCCAGCCATGTGACCGACCAGGCCTCTCTTCCTCTAACCTACCACTTCGAAACAACTGTCTCTCCTGCCTGCCTGAGTGAACTTTGAACCCTGGAATGCCATGAATGACCAAAACAAAGCTATTTATGAGAAACTGTTGGAATCCGTTCACATCTGAACTAAGGGAACAGTTAACACGGGGCTAACGTGACTCCAGCCCATCAGGGTTATCCCTGATAAAAGGGAAACGCACGCGACCTGACAGCTATAGCTAATCTAAAACTCTCCGTCATCAATACATAGTATCCTATCATTTTGAACTGGAATGTGAACCCACATTTCTAAGAATAGGGTCATTTTCTGTCATCATTAAAGCTCTGGATGTTGTGATTGTGTGAGTATTGGGAAGTAAAAGTGAAAAGGTGAGTTGAGAAATGCCCAGGTATCCAGTTAAAGTAGTAAGGGTGATGGATGATGGTCCAAGTCATTGATATCAACATGTCGGATGAGCAATATCATGAACATGTTCTGATAATAAATGACCTTTGTCATAAGACTGAAATGCCTTTGATGTTTGCTGCTGTGTTTGTATTCCTCTCTGTGATTGATGCGTTAAGAAGCCAGGGTACTCCTCAACCATTGACTTGGGCAGGTATGAGCAACATGGAGGATACATACTGGGATTTTCACCTGTCCAATTGTTTACTGTCCGTGGAGACGAACCCAACTTAGAGTATTTACATTTGACTCATTTAGCAGACGTTCTTATCCAGAGCGACTTACAGTTAGTGCATTCATCTTAAGGTAGCTAGGTGAGACAACCACATATCAAAGTTATAGTAAGCAACATAAATGTCCTTAATAAAGCAGCTATCAGCAAAGTCAATGCTTGTAAGCAAAGACAAGTGTGACTGTTAGTGAAAGAAAGGCAGCTACTGAGATGGAGAGGAAACCAGCAAGCCACTGTATGCTATTGAGATTAAAGAAAGAAGATTATGAGAGGAAGTTACTTTAAACTACTGAGATAGATCCACCCAGCATGTGTTATGAAAACCTTGACTTCGGTGAGCAATGAGCAGTACGCAGAAAGGGAGTAGAGACAATGGAACATACAGTAGCTGCTGCAGTAGTTTCCCGTATACATTGATCTAAGGTCAGTTTAGCGTTGTTCCCCTAATAGTTAACATCAGTATCTGGAGAGGGTAAGCTGATCCTGGACCTGTGCCCAAGGCCAACTTTTCCTCATATCTGATATAACAGCAGCTGAGTAGACAGAGCCAGCCAGTGTGACTTCACATGACTGGAATCATAAAAACAGCTCTCCAGCAGAAGTTGTGAAAACTGGTATTAAAGCTCTATTAAGTCCCTGACTCCGTCTTTATTTAAGCACCATAGTTGCATCCCAAATGGCACCCTTTTCCCCATACAGTGCACTACTTGTGACCAGGGCCCATGCGGTTCTGGTCAAAAGTAGTGCACTATATAGGGAATAGGATGGAATTTGGGATGCACAATGAGTCAGTCTGTAGGGCTTCCTCTCCTCTCTGTTCCAACCCTGTCAGTTAAAACAGTCAGGCAGGATATGATCTGCCTTCACCCAGCCATTTCACAGTCATTTCACCAGATTGACGCAAGGAACACATAGCTGTGGTGAAATCGAACTAGTGACAATCGAACCTCCTTGCCTCTCTTTTTATGTATCGTTCCTTTCATACTCCATCAACTGAGAGCCATATGCTCTGGTAAAAATTAGGAATAGGGTGGTTCTGGTCATATGTCATAGTGTACAATATGGGGACTGCAATAGGGTGGTTCTGGTCATATGTCATAGTGTACTATATGGGGACTGCAATAGGGTGGTTCTGGTCATATGTCTTAGTGTACTATATGGGGACTGCAATAGGGTGGTTCTGGTCATATGTCATAGTGTACTATATGGGGACTGCAATAGGGTGGTTCTGGTCATATGTCTTAGTGTACTATATGGGGACTGCAATAGGGTGGTTCTGGTCATATGTCATGGTGTACTATATGGGGACTGCAATAGGGTGGTTCTGGTCAAAAGTAGTGCACTACACAGAGAATAGGGTGCCATTTGAGACTAGCCTCTCTGCTTTAATGTAGTGGTTTGGTTAGGGTAAATGATGTAGATTTGCCATGTGTGTGACCAGGAGCAGAGTTTGGCCGGCAGGCTGCCTTTTACTGCTCTTCTGGGTTCATGCTTAACTTCTCATATGGAACAGGAAGGAGAGTTAATGTTCCACTATGAGCCTGGTCGGCCAGCCACGGCCCGAGTCTGAGCTGCTGCTGCTGCTGCTGCTAATGTAAAACAGGTGAGAGGCACCATGCTTCAGTCAGACTACCTACTGTAGCCATGCCAGTGGCTGGCCAATGGTGGGTCACAACCAGTGGTATAAAGTACTTAAGTAAAAATACTTTAAAGTACTACTTAAGACGTTTTTTGGGGTATCTGTACTTTACTTTACTATTTATATTTTTACTTCAATACATTTCTAAAGAAAATTATGTGCTTTTTACTCCATACATTTTCCCTGACACCCAAAAGTACTCGTTACATTTTGAATGCTTAGCAGGACAGGAAAATGGTCAGATTCACGCACTACTCAAGAGAACATCCCTGGTCATCTCTACTGCCTCTTATCTGGTGGACTCACGAAACACAAATGCTTCGTTTGTAAATTATGTCTGAGTGTTGGAGCATGCCCCTGGCTTTCCATAAAGAGGCCCCTGGCTTTCTGGTTTGCTTAATATAAAGAATTTGAAATGATTTATACTTTTACTTTTAATACTTAAGTGTATTTTAGCAATTGCATTTACTTTTGATACTTAAGTATATTTAAAACCAAATACTTACTCGAGTAGTATTTTACTGGGTGACTTTCACTTTTACTTGAGTCATTTTCTATTAAGGTATCTTTACTTTTACTGAAGTATGACAATTGGGTACTTTTTCCACCACTGGTCACAACCAATTCCTTTTAGGCTTATGCATGGCTGATATCAATATTGGCTCTTGGCTAGAAACTATTTATGTTTACAAAAGCTCTCACGATATTGTACAGAACTAAAAACAAATAGACATGAAACAGTCAAGAAATTCAATATAAGGAGCTCGCTACTGTATTAGCTTGATCGAATTCTCAGCTAAGAATACAAAAACAGCTTAAGCGTAAATCATAGTCCACAGACGATGAGACGCGATTGTCTGCCGTCCCATTGTGACATAGCTACCGGCTTTAAGACCACCATCCGCGGGGGACGCACAGCACGAACGCACACCTCGCCACAATTCCCAACCAACGCGGCTCCGGTATGCGTCTTCTATTAATTTGAATGTGTTGACAGTTGAAGAAATTGTTTTAGTTGCACTGAGAATTCAAAAAGTATGAAAGCCAACGGTCCAATATTCTAATTTAGAACATTGCTGTGCATATGTGTACAGGTTTTGGACTATGATAAAAACTTTAGCCTTAACATGGAGACATCCTAGTGGGGGTTGGAGAGAATACAAAGGACAAGACAATGCCACTCCTCTCTCCAGTCCAGCAACACCAGCAGAATACTTAACATTCCCTGGCATGGCCTTGCTGGGCAGGAAATACCGCTCATGGTTGCTGCTGTCTGTACGTCCATCCATATGTCAGGTGACTGCTGGGGATGAGATTGGAGGTAATAACATTATCATGCTCCACCACCACCGCTATCTTCTCTGCCCTTGTGGATGGACTGACGGAGGCTAAAAATAGCAGACTAATCCTTCTGCTCTCCTAAAAACACAGTATGCGTGCATTTGTGTGTGTGTGTGTGTGTGTGTGTCTGAGCTACAGTTAGTTGGCTGGGAAGGATGGCTACTTTTACAATTCTCCTCTGTCTTTTTTAAATTGGTTTATTTTTTTGGTAGCGGGAGCTGGATAACATTACAGTTTACCGAGGGCTCTACAGGGCTTTGATCCTGCCCATTTACTGTTGCATATCATGTAAATAACTTGTAACACACACACACACTCCTGCTCCATGGTTCTACTGCTCATTTAGCATGCCAGTGGCCTGTGACCCCCTCCCCCCAACACACACACACCCTTTCCCGTGACTTTGTAAAGGTATTTTAGTTTGACCTTGCTTCTGATCTACCCTCACCCCCACCCATTTGACATGATATGAAATACATATTTCCTCCTGGGGTGCTCTTACCCCTGTACTGCCCTGTCATAATATGTTTTGACCCCCACACCTGCAGTGCTGAAGCTCACATGGCCGGGAGGTGTGAAGATGTGGAGCAGCATAGGAGGACCAGGATGTGGAGTGGGCCACGTTTCTGACCTCTAACCCCTAGCCATGCGTCCTCACAGCCTGGCCAAGTCCCCTGTGTGAGAGGGAGCAACCTGGCTGCATGGGGCAGGAGCTGCGTGTGTGCCTGTGTCCATGCGTAATTTGAAGGGATGGATAGTGCACTTAACCTAATCGCCCTTTTGTGCCTGTGTCTTTCTCTCTTGCTCTATAGGAGGGTTTCCCAAACTCGGTCCTTGGCCCCCCGGGTGCACGTTTTGTTTTTTGCCCTAGCACTACACAGCTGATTCAAATAATCAAACCTTGATGATGAGTTGGTTATTTGAATCAGCTGTGTAGTGCTAGGGCAAAAACCAAGAGGTGCACCTGGGGGGGCCCCAGTACCGAGTTTGGGAAACCCTGCTCTATAGACCATCGGTACAAATTTCTCATCGGAATAGGGTCACCAGAGCATGTCAATAAGAAGGGAGCCCATTTGTGTTGATATTAGGGTTATTAATGAGTTAGAGAGAGAGAGTTCAAAGAGGAGAGAGAGACATCTGAGGGGAAATGCCACTGTAGGTCTCTGTAGCCTATTATAAAGCAGAATGACCTTGGTGCAACATCCAGCACTGTTATTTCAATAGCCTGAATTAAACTGTGAGTCCATTAGCTGAATCTGACCAACGTGTACTGTGCTTTTACTACCTCTGTCTGTCTTTCTAGGTCTCTGTGACCGTCTCTGTCACAATGCCCTGTCCCTTACTACCTGAGCTGTGTGCTGAAAGTCTATGATCTACTCATCTGAGTCTTTGTAT